GATTAAGAAAAGGCAAAAGAATAAGAAAGCAGATGAGTTAATGAGAAAAAAAAACTAAAAGGAAAAATAATGAATTAAAAAAAAAGCATGATAGAACTAAAAGAAAAATGAAAGTGGGAAAAATAAGTAATTTATTAGGTAATAAATAATAAAAGAAAATAAGAATGTAGATGGAACTGAAAAATTTACAAATAAATGAATCAGAATTAAGAAAATCTGTGAAAACAAAGAAATAGGAGAAAGGGTAAAAATGTCTGAAAAATAAGTGAAAAATTCATTAGTGGAAAGAGTTATATGAAAAAAAAGAGAAAAGAATAGAAATGGGATGAAATAAATGAAGATAAAATTCAGAGTTTTCTAAGAAAGAACAGATTTCAAAACTTTTTGGTATTTATATTTAAAAGTTATAAAACAATGTACTGTTAATAAATATCCCATGAGATATATTTATAAGAAAATTTACAAATATCAACAGGTAAATGAAAATATTTTTTTAAAAATAAATTTAATTCAAATAAATAAATAGACTGTATAATTTTAAATAGCCATGTGGCTAAATTAGAATAAAACATAATTCAAAAATTAATTTCAAATAGCTGATTCATTGAGTATTCTAGCATTTTTTTAATGAATTATGAAAGCTTGTGTACTCAATTTGAGATTAACCTTCTGTATCTTTCTGTTTTTGAATATATTGATACTCAGTTTGAAAAATGATGAATATGATTCCTAGAAACTGTTACCAAAAAATACATTTTTCAATTTAATTAATTCACGCACTGCACTATATAATCTGTAATCTATTTTCCATGATTACTAAAATTGGCTGTGCACACAAGGGAAACAAGGGATTGATAACCTTGATATCAGCCAAGTTCAAACAAAATGTTTTAATATTCCAAGCTTTGTTCACATAATTCAGCTTGTTTTTTGTGCTGATATTGGCAGAACTTTTCAGCTAATCAATTCTACAACCTTCTTCAGGTATATGATATATAAAGAAAGAGATTTTTTTTTAAATGAAGCAGTTGCTATAATACCAACTAAATTGATTCATTCCAGAACCACAATATACAGTTACTACCATTAATTTATTTATAGGGAAGAATGCTCAGTTTTTGAGATAGAATGTTTATAGATACAGACAGTCTGGCATAGGAATGAACCCTGCATAGTTATTGTTACTTTCATAATGTGATCTTCAGACCATATATATATATATATATATATATATATATATATATATATATATATATATGTGTGTGTGTGTTGTAGCATACCTATGGACGATAATGGGTATGTCCCTATTCACATAAATACAGTAGTAAATACTGTATGTTGGTCTGCAGTTCACTTCTCACTTCTAGCAGTTGATTACTACTTCTACGCACTGCTGGTGAATCTTATATGTATTGTTTGTATCGTAAGTATTATTGTTCATGACCAACCTTCATGTGATTATTCTATTCAGTAACCTTCCCTAAGTTACAGCAATATATATATAGGTGATTTATATACAGGAGTTCTCACCCAAATAATCCATATTAAGCAAAGAAAAATATACTATGTTGAAATCTCTTCTAGCCTGACTAGCAACCAGCTGATAAGTTGATAGATGCCACCTCCATCAATTTTCTGACTCTTCAGCTGTGTTCCCTGTTTATTATCTGAACTCCATCCCAGAAAACATAATATGTATCATTAATGCTCTACCCCTCTACCCCCACACACACTTTGTATGGGTTACTTGGACATCCAAGAAATGAAGATTATTATTATCCTCATTTTCATTGTAACTATATAATTGGCTCAGTTGAGTTTATATGATCTCAAAGGATCTGTATGTTCACCTATTGAAACTAGAGGATAAACATATCATCCATGTACCTAAACCAGATGAAAGGCTTCAATAGGGAGGAATCTTGGGCAAGAAATTTCATATGAGAAGGGAGAACCTATAACTTGGCTTTTTTCCATCAGTTTATATCAGGCTCAAACTGAAAACATTAACATCTCTATGAAATTCTTAGTGGAGACACTAGAATAGGTCTTAAAACAAAAGCCATTGTTTAGTTTGTAATGGATGATGAGTAAAGATTCCTCTGTTATCTAACTACAGTGGAACCTCAGTTATTGAGCACCTCTGTTATTGTACAGTTATTTTTGACAAAAATATGTTTCAAAAATTGTACATCTCCTAAGTTATTGAGAAAGGAAATCTATCTGTTAAGAACCTGTGCCTTCCTGTTCACTTGATGCCACATGACTTAGACAAGCCAAGCTCCCACACAAAGTATCATATTTGTGCATGGCACAGTTTGCCTTTGTCTCTTGCTAATGGAGCATTTCCTAGCGTTAGTCTGAAAATTTTTGTTTGAAATAATGTTCTCGTGTTTTTTTTGTTTTCTTTTAGTTTTGCTGTTAAATAAGCCACCATGGGGCCAAAGAATCTTCTCTGTGTGTCTAGGTTCCATTGGATATTAAAGTTCACCATTAATGATAAGATGAGTATGCTCTAAGTCATAATTCATAAACGAAAGCTAGGGCATAAATTCCTTCTATCCATGCACAGGATTCATTGTAAAGTTGCAGACTACCTTGCTTTTTCAATGATTATTTTCTTTTTTTAATCATTTCACTGCAAGCAAGTTGATAATGCCACTAGGATGCAGGGGTTACAGGAAGTGAAAGAGAATGAGAAAACTTTATCTAGAAGTGAGAATGGGACAATAAAGGAACAGGGTTCAGGAAGACAGAAGATGTCAATTGACATTGCATTTAAATTTTTGAAGATTGTAGGTAGCAGGGATTCAAGAAATTGGAAGGGATTTCTACAGACGAGATATTAGAAAAGAAGAGACAGATTGCATGTAGTTAGTTCAACAATAAAATGGTGAGACCTAGTTGCCAATCTAGTAGCACACATTTAAATTTATGCAGTCAAGGCACTAAGGAAAAAAGCTTGTCAGTTGAATTGCCATGAAAATATTTGTAGAAAAGATAGATGGAAGCCATGTTGGTGAGAAAGTGAGTGAAGTCAAGATGCCAGATCAGGATCAATTACGTTACTTTGATTTTTGTCAAAAATCTTGAAATGTACAGCAAGAGCACCAGATCAGACATGGCAGTAGTATTTAATGCACAAATGGATGATAGATTTATAAATGTGCAGAATGGATTCTGACAGGAGAAAAACTTTCTGGCAAGACTGAGAGAACTAAAATTTATAGCAGTAGATGTTGCAATTCAATAAACTCACTCCACTTTGTGTCAGTGGAAAATGTGAGTCCAAGAAATTGCTCTCCGGAAGTTTAGAATCAGCCATGTTAATGGCAGTCAGAAAAGTTTCTCTTGTGATTAAATGAAAGCAGTTTTCTTTTGGAGGCATTAAAATTTACAAGATGATTATATTGATTATGCTATCTCAAAATCTTTTAATATAAAATATTGAGTATTGCAAAATTTCACAATCAATTTTTAACCCTTCCACATTTTCCTCAAGTAAATCCTTTTCCATAAGTAAACACATCTACTCTATTTTGTTATATATTTCACTTAAATTTCATTCTTTAAATGTGGTAAGACTCACCATTTAAATTTCTGTAAGCTAGGACTATGATTGCATCTTATTACTGAGCGCAAATAACTGGATCAACTCCAATCAACTCAAAATTTAATCACATTTTATAAGTGCTGAATATAAATTTGTATCAGTATTGTTGCTCATAATTTGACCCTCAAAATTCCAGGCTTATGGCAACATCACATTGAAACATTACTTCATGTATGATCACCAATGTTAAACAACAATGTGCCTGGTCAGTACCTATATGGGTGACCACTTTGGAATAAAAGGTGCTGTAAGCTTGAATGTGCAGATGGTATAATAACTCTGAATTGTTAATTAGAGAGCCAAGTTCCAATTCCCATTTAGTTCATTATATACACTTACATGCAAATATCCTCGGGAAAGGTACGTATCCACCTCTTCTCCCCCAGTTATGGGTTAATTAGTAAGACTTGTATCACTAAACATTTATTATCTAAAAAAAATCTTAAATCTTTCAGTGCCATTTGATGATATATATTTATGAACTTAAGCTCATTCATTAGGAATCTTGAACAACTACCATATTTGACAGCATATAAGGTGCATTTTTTTTCACTAAAAGTATCTTTTAAAATTCCCTTGTGTCTTTTATGCTATATGTAGTTTTAAAATTCACGATAGTTGGCCGAAATTAGCTACCTGGCAACTCCTATTAGCTTACACATTAGAGTAAATTTCATATACCTACTGTCATTATTTAAAAGGCTATGATGCAGATTAAAAGTGTTATCATTGATAATATTCATTATATTAATTTCATCACATTTAATATTAGTACTTTGTTTCACTAAAATTATATGCAACAAATTCAAATTATATATTTGTAAAATATATTTGTTTCATTAATATTTTTCTTGCAGTAACTTCTGGTTGCATTGGTATAAATACAGTCAGAATTTTTATATCTTAATTATTCCAATAAGACGTTTGCAAGAAGCAGGTTATACAGATCATATAAAGAATAAGTTTTTATAGGCTTGTGTTCTTGTTTTCCTATTATTTTTCATTTAATTGAATTCATGACTTGTTTAAGCAAAATAATACCTCATAAATATAGCCTTGGCTGTACCATTTACTAATAATTTTACTAATTAGTAATTTTTTCTTGATTTGCTCTGCTGAAATTGGGGTGTGTCTTATACACTGTCAAATACAGTAATTTAATTCAGCTAAATCCATATATATAATAGAAAACAGCAAAAACTTTTTTATCTAAAAGCTACAGCTTTATGATGAGCAAGCATTATGATTGTTTATATGAATGCATATAATTTAAATGTATCTCCTGAAAAACAAATTAACAAAGAAAATCATGAAAAAATTTAGGTCATTTGCTTTCATTAATATTATATTTTTATTAAAACTGATGTAAACATTCATTATTACTTACCTAATGTATACTCTCTGTTGCAGTAAGTAGCTTTTTCTGGTTTTCTTCTTTTGTTTAATAGTTTCCTGATATATTTGCATGTAATACAGCAGTGGTAGCACTGAGTCATTAGATTATATGGTAGAAGGATGCATAAAAGACATGATCATGAGGGTGTCCAAGAAGAGTATTCATTTATTTGTGGTAATTTTCTATTGGTAATAATGAAGAATACGTATAAACATTGAACATTTATTTTCTCATCAGTTTTTATATGAACTTGAAATGTTTTATTACTAAGTCAGTATTAAAAAGATAGTGGTTGATACTGAATGGACTATAGTACCATTATCCTTGACCACAAATTCCAAGTTACATGAGCCAGCATCTTGTTGGATAACAGTACAAGTGAAAGATAACAAGCCAGTGGATTGGTTGATTGTAAATAATTGTTTCTCATTGCCTGAAGTTATTTCATATTTGAGAAGAGCATTTTCCCGACTATCACTATCAGATACTCTTAGGATTGTGATGTTCTTATTTTGATGAGAGTAATATACAAAATTCAAAGTAAATGGATTAATATGAGGAAAAATAAAATATGGAGCATTATCATTTTCATCTCTCACTTCAACAATGACATTCACTGTATTATTTAATGGTGGTTTTCCATTATCTTTCACAAGAACCTGGAATTTATAAATATCTTGCATTTCATGATCTATTGAATTTAATGTTGAAATTAAGCCATCCTCTCTAATTTGAAAAGGTAGAAATTGCTTATCTTTGGTAAGCAGAGAATAACTGAGTTGTCCTCCTGCTCCAAGATCTTGATCATTGGCATTGATGAAGCCAACTGGAATTTGGGATTTCTGGTTCTCATCAATGCTAAATCTATAAATCTCTCTAAAAAATTGTGGTCTTACATCATTGACATCAATCACTTTGATCGAGAACTCTTTTTTACTGTGCAATGGAGGGGATCCTTTATCACGACAAATGATGATAATGTCATGGAGATCTTCATTTTCTCTATCCACTACTTTTCAGAATGATTTCATATTTTTTTATGCCAAGACTCTGCAACTGTAATTTATCATGCTGCAGATCATATTTAACTTCTCCATGCTGTCCAGTATCATAATCAGTGGGCTTTACAATGAAACTGCCAAATCTTATACCAGAAAACTCAATGGGGGACTGCCATAAGTTATGAAGTAATGCTTGCCTAACTGAAAAGATTTTATGCAAGAAAATCTCTCCTTTTTCTTGAATTAAATAAAAATGAGATTTTACCATTTCAGAAGTTTTTAAACTAAAGTAGTAAGAGATTTTTTCATTATGTCCAGTATCCAGATCTTGTCAGAGGACTAGTAAATACCAAATCCTGTGCAGGTAGTATTAGTATGAGGACTATGAGTTCATTGTTTATAGAGACATTATATACTTTTTGAGAAAATACTGGTGGGTTATCGTTGACATCAGTAACTGATATGTGGACATTTAAAATACTTTGTTTAGCTGGAGAACCTCCATCTTTAGCAATCACTTGGATCATATAGGTATCTTTAGCTTCACGGTTAAGCTTGCTTTCAAGTATGATACTTAGATCAGATGTACCATCTACTCTTTCAGAAACAGACAATGTAAATGGCTCATCCCTGTTCTTTTTCAGTTGGTAGGTTATTTGTGAGTTCAAATGTCCAACATCTCTATCGATTGCATTTGGGATTGATATTTTTGTTCCTTTACTATCTCTCTCAGAAAGTTGAATATTTACTTCTTTCTTTGAAAACTTTGGTTGATGATCATTGACATCTTGGATTATCACTTTGATTTCTAACAGTTTAATGAAAGATGTTCCTTTTCTCATGGCAACATCTATCATTTTATAGCATACTTTCTCCCGCTTGCAAATCAATTCTGCATCCAGGTTTTGGGTTGTATAAAGTTTTCCTGTATTCTTAGATACTTGGAACAGCTGGCCAGTATTTGACATACCCTGTTGCAGGAGGTTAAATGTTATTAATCCATTATTTTGATGTGGTATGCCATCTATCAGGTGTGTGTTCATAGAAATATCACCAACTAATGTACCTTGGCTTTGGCCTTCTTTTACATATTAAGTCGTCTTGTATGCAGGATAACCAGTGAATTTGGTGTTCACATGTAGTTGACACTGTTAAGTAAAACAAACTCAAATTACTCATGGAATCTAGTATATATATATATATGTGTGTGTGTGTGTGTATGTATGTATATACATACACACAATATGCTGTGTGTTGCATTGTGTGAAGAATAGAACAATGCAGATATTACATTTTTGAAATTATCTTCTACTTTGATTATTATTTCACTGTGGTTTAGAAATAGCTTTTTATTTGATTCAAGATTTACCTAAATAGTGATCTTACTCATTTGTGGTGTCCAGTATATATACATATGAATTGATTGTTTCATGTAAAATATTTGCAATTTGCTTCCCTCATTGACATTATTTTGCTTAATTTATTTTTTTTAATTGATCAGTACCATTTCTTTTTGCTAGTATATCAGTTTCATCATTTTAATTCTATTAAAATTGTACTTTCATCAAAGATTTTATAGCATATGTAATTATATCAGATTTTATTGTGCAAGTCAATGTTTTCACAATAAATTTTTTGTGATATATTTATATGAGAAATATAATATGTAGGTTTCAAATTTTTATATCACCATATATCAAAAATATTCATAATAACCCATTTTGGAGATGTCAGGTGTTTTTATTTAAAGTGTAATATAAATTTTATTTATAACTAAATCTAAATGATATAAACCATGGAAACATTTAACACAATATACTTGAATAAATTATTACTTTTTAGGCACATGTTAACATTCCATATCTTTCATCCATTGTTTTTATAACTTTAAATGGTGTTCGGAAAGTAATTTTATATTTTACCACTATGAATTATGTGTCACTAACCGAAGCAGAACTAAGATTAAATGGTTGGAAACTATATCTAGAATTAGTTCATCATCTCTTCTGTTTGACAGTGTATTGAGAATAGTATATTTCAGAGTTTAATTGTGAAATTTGCCAAAAAGAAATTTATGTTCCTCATGAGCTTTTGCTTGACATCCCAATATTGCACCATCTGCAGCTGTATTTATCCAGAAATACCAAATCTTTACATTGCATTGCTACAATGGATAAAAAATGATTTTTTCGATCTGTACATTACATGGCTACAATGGATGAAAATTATTTTTTCATGCCAACAGGAACAAAAGACAGATTATCACAAAATGAGAAACCAGTGACAACACCAAAACCATCCATGGAAATCCTTGCTTTATGCCTAGTAGAATATAAAAAGTGTCATCTATTATGAGCTACAGGAACAAGGAAGGACCATCACTGCAGATATTTATTGCCAGTAACTTATAAATGAAGCATTACATTGGAAGTTTCCTGCTTTGTTAAACCAAAAAGGTGTTATTCTCCAAAGTGATAATACAAAGACACTCTTCAAAACAAATATAAGAAAAAATAAGATTAGAATTGGAGCTTCTTCCACATCTTTCAGACTCAACAAATTTAGCACCTAAAGATTTTCTTTTCTTTTGATTATGAAAGCATTTCATAAGCTGAAACACATTGAGAAATAAAGAAGTTGAAAAGAGTTTTTTCAAACATTTTGTAGGACAAAAATCCATATCACTGTAAATGTGAAATCAAAATTTTACCTTCCTGTTGAGCTGCAGTCATTGAAATTGAAGGTGATTACATTTTTGATAAATAATTTACATTTATTTCTATATAATAAAGCATAAAATTACTTTCTGAACAGCCTAATATTTAATTTTTAACATCACTTTTTTATTGCTTTTTGGAAATATTCTTTGCTTTGATACTGTTTTCTGTTCTCATCTCAATCTCTTTCAATGAACTGTGCCAAGTTTTCTATTGAATTAATATTTGGACAGACTGGGAACAATTTCATTAATTTGGTGTCTTTGGGACATTTCTGGCAAGATGTGCAATAGTCAGCTTTGTAAAATGTGAAGAGACATTGTCTCGTAGAAACATATTTATAGATTAAAGTTTCTTGTTTGCCAAAGAACTTAAAATAATTTTCTGCATTTATCTTCACCTTATTATCAATTTTGAAGAGATTAATAATTTTATTACAATTTTATCTCCAGACATATTATTATGTATAGATCTAGTGCTGCAGGCAGTTATTTTGTTGATTGAATATTTACATGAAAGATCCAACCATCAAGTCCATCCAATACAGCTCCACATTACTCACTAAATATTACTATTGAGAAATCAGTTTTCATATACGTTTTTCCTCAACTTCAATGTTTCTCTTTGTGATATTTACTTAAAGGTGGTAGTATTTTTGCTTTACTGTCTTCAGCCAATATTCTTAATATACTGCATCTTTTGATTTCTATTTGCATTGATAGCATCAGCTTCTTCAAATATTACCTTTCTGTTAAATCCAATATTTTGGCTTATTAACCCTTTTAATTTTTTTTATCAGATCTCTTTTTGTGGCATTCTTAAATCCATTTTTTTCTTCTTCTTGTCTTTCCATTGTTTTTTCTTTTTGTTTTTAATCATTTCACCCCAAATGAGGTGATACTACCACAATGATGCAAGGGGTTACTGGAAGTGGAATAGAAAGGGAAAATTTTAGTGAAAAGAAAAAAAAACAATAAAAGAACAGGGTTCAGAAAGACAGAAGATGGCAATTGACAGTGCATTTAAATTTTTGAAGATTGTAGGTGGTAATGAAGCAGAAAATTGGAAGAGAGTTTCACAGGTGAGAAGTGCGAGAAAAGAAACTATTAGAATAGAATTTAGGGTTACACCTAGCAATTTCAACAGTAAAATGATGAGACCTAATAGCCAATCAAGTAGCATACTTAAATTCATGCAGTTGAGGTACCAAGGAGAAGAGCATATTAGAACAACTGCCATAAAAATATTTATAGAAATGATAGAGGGAAACCACATCACAGCAGTGGGAAATTGACTGAAGTCAAGATGCTAGCTCAGGACTAATGACATTACAATCCCTTCTTTGAGTTTCATCAAGAATCTCAAGGTACATAGCAGCAGCACCAAACCAGCAATATTCAGTGTATGGTTGAATGGTAGATTTATAAATGTGCAAGATAGATTCTGATTAGAAAAGTCATCTGGCATGACATAGTGAACCTTAGCAGTTGACCTAGCAATTTATTTAATATAATCGCTCCATTTGATTTCAGTAGAAAATGTGAGACCAAGAAAGTGCAGTGAGGTTAGCATCAAAATGGTTCTCTATGATGATTAAAGGATAGCAGTTTTATTTTGAAATTGTTAATATTATCAAGGCTTTTTTTGTTCCAGCTAACAACTGGAAGTCATTTTCGAGAGCAGCTGCCAGTTTTATTTTGTCAGACCTATCAGACTTACTATTAATACAGGAGCAAATAGTTGTGCCATCAGCATAAATACCCAGTTGTGAACTGATGACATCAGGAAAGTCATTGATGAAGATAAGAAACAATATAGATCCAAGGATAGAATCCTGTGAGACTAATGAGAAAAGATATAGAAGCAGCACCATTCAATATGATCTTTATTACCTGATTTGTTAAGAAAGATTGGATTGTCAAATATCTGGCCTGAGGCACCATAGCACTTCAGCTTGTGGAAAAGTCTAGCATGCCAAGCCCTGACAAACATCTTCAAAATATCTAAAGTCACAGCCTGAGCCTCACCACTTTTTATCTAAATCCTGATAGACAAATTCAGTAATAACCATTAATACATTGGCAGTTAACCTAGAGAAATAAGACATTTTTTATCTGAAAGAAGGCTATATGAAGTGAGATGCTTAACCAATGCAGGGTTAGGGTTGGGTTAACCCTAACCCCTGCCAAGTACTTCATCAAAACAAAGCAAGAGACTAATAGGAAAATAATTTGAGATCAAAATGTTCATCAGAGTTCTTAAAGACAGGAACTACAAAAGTGGATTTCCAACAAACTGGAAAATAAGAACCAACAAGGCATTTATTGTAGAGTTTAGAGGAACAAGAGCCAGTTTAAGGGCATATTTCTTTAGGACAATTGCAGGGATACCATCAAGTCCAAAAGACTTTTGGGGATCTACTTTGAAGCTGATATCAGAAACCATTGCTGGAGTTATGTTCATCTCACTCAGTAGAGAATCTGTTTTGCAGGGAAAAACAGGCAATGATACTCCTGAAGAGTCGAGAGTAGAGTTGGAAGAGAACTGAAAAACATTGGCTTGCATGATAAAATTTGATATATGTTAATAAGTATGATATTTGAAATAAAATTTGTTTTGATGAAAATCATTTTTTTTATTTTATATTCATAAATCTAATATGAAATGTTTTTTTAAAGTATTAATGCTTGTTTTATAAGATATTTCATTCTTAATAAAGAATGAAGTGTTTCAACAGTTTTTACTTAAGTTGAAACTGATCTAATTATAAATGTGTATTATATAAACTTAATGAGTATATTACAAAAAATGGCATAACAAAATTGTAACTATGGAGTTCAGTCATCAGTAAACTCTGTTTGCAAATCATTCATGATGTTATTTTTTTATGCATATTGCATATATATGGCTTTTTTATCTTAAAAAACCAACCACAAGATTATTAAGCAAAAATATGCATAGTATTTTAATATTGGCTTAAGGAGTATTGAATAATATATCAATTATTTCTTAATTGTAATTAAATAAAAATTAAATTTATACTTTCAGTTTTTTTTTTGTTTTTTTTTTAAGCATTACGCCCCGAGCAAGGCGTGAAGCCACTAGGATGCAGGGGGTTGCAGAAGATTTGGAGCGAGAGCAGATAGGAGTGATAGAAGAAAGGATGAGGAGAAGGATAGTGGGTAGATCAAGGTAACTGTAGATGTCGATTGACATTACATTTGAATAGTTGGAGATTATAGCTTTCAGGGAAACAGTAATTGGGAAGGGTGTTCCACAGGCGAGAGGTGCAAGGTATGAAGCTATTGGAGTAGAATAGACGGCTACATTTAAAAGTTTCTATAGTGTAAGGGTGGGAGTGGGATGCCAGCCTTGTAGGGCGCTTGAATTCATGGAGTCTGGAAACCAGTGAAAGCAGCTCATCGGAGCAATTACCATGAAAGTATTTGTAGAAAAGACAGAGAGAGGCGACGGCGCGTCTGTGAGAGAGTGACTGCAGATGAGACGCCAGATCAGGGCCAATTGCATTACATATCCATCTCTGGAATTTTGTTATTCATTCATAAAGGAGAAGGTGAAGTCATTTTGCTATTTGTTTAAATTTGTCATTAGATTGCATATATTCTTGCACTTAAACCATTGTGTAATAGCTGGGTTTTTTTCTGTACCCCCTATTCAAATTCATTTAAGCATTGATAAATATTTATCTGCAATACTTTAAGCATTCTTCTTGCTTGAAATTCTTAAGCAAATATCAGTTTAATTTAGAATTTTTTGTTTGTCAAAAGTCAGGTATATTTTAACATAGGTTTTTTTTATTATCAAATCTACAATTTTTTCATGTCAAATATTTTAGGATTTTTTAAAATAGTTAATCTGTTATTTTAAAAACTATTAAGAACTGAAATGTAAGAAAAGGTTAGATATTTATCAAAAAGAAGAATCAGTCATATTTATCAATATAGTTGTTTCATGCAAATGCTGTTTCCATAATAAAATGATGAAAATCATAAATTGGTGAACATATTGATATATTATTTTCTCATAAAATGTTATTTAAACATTTTTAGATAAAGAGGAAGATAACTGATAACTTTTGTAATATTTCATAGATTCTAAAGTTTCCTATTCATGTATTGAATCATATTGAGGTGGAATAAGTATAATAATGTGGAAGTAAGTTATATGGAAAACTATATTTATTTAATAAGTCTCATTTATAAAATTATAATCATAATGCATTTATATCATTTGAATGTTTTCAGAAAATAGAATTAGAATTTATTTAATCATTTATGAGAGAGCAAGGAAAAATTTCTTTGTATCTCGGAAATAGGGCAAAGTACTACAAGAGATAATTTGAATTAACTCATTCTTCATATTTTATTTAATAAGAGAATTTTAATGTTTTGCAAATTTCAGGTATAATTAAATTTCAAACAAGCAAACTGTTGACACACAAAAAATATGTACAATAATTATCAATTTTTCAAAACTCCTTGTAAAGGGTGTTCCAATAACTTGGATCAATTTTAATGTGAATTAAGTTTAATTGTCTTTTTCTTTCAGATTTGGCAGACATATTATTTTTCACATATAATTGCCATGACTTAAATAACATGATCCAATAGAGAAATAAATAAATTCTCACCAATAACACCGATTTATTTACTGCTGACTTTGATACATCTTAATGAAACACCGTTATATATAATCTGTCTTAATGAAACACCCTTATAAATAAAAAAATTAATAAAAAGTTTGAATAATATTAAGAGGTTTATACAAATGTTCTCAGTGCCCTATTTTTTCAAATAAGACATTGAATGTACAGTAGAAAAATTTGTTGAATTAAAAAATATATGCTGGAAACTTTTGTACTGACTTAAAAATAATTAAAATTTTCTTATGACTGAAGAAAAAGAAGACAATTTTTCCCTCATCTCAGAAATATAGACTGATACAATTTTTCACTTCAAAGTTTTCACACTAAAATATATATATGCACATAACTTTGAATATTTAAATTCCTGATATTATGAATTAAAAATAAATCACATGAATATAAATAGGAAAACTTCTTTAATGCTCTTCTGCATAAGGAATATTGTATTTTTTCTTTCTTTTTCACATCATTACTTCTGTTTAATAGCAAGATAAAGAATAAGACTTCTTTTTTTGCAGTGTAATACATTTTTACATGTAGGAATCTTCTGAGGACAGTCCAAGCAAGAACTTAGAAATCTCATTATACAAAAAATAAGAAGTAATCTGAATATAGTTTTTACAAATGTTTACTCTTCATAAACTAAAAATAAGTAAGTATCATTCTACATTTTAGGTTGTTTTCAACAGATTTTATAGAGTATTAAAAAAAAAAGCAGTCAAACAAATTTTCTACAACTGAAATCATTTAAGATCTTCATGATATCAGATGATATAAAGAAACGCAAAATAAAAGTAAAATATCACAATGAATATGATTATGGTTTTGGTTACCAAAATTAAGAATGCCAGTAAAAGTCTAATTTTTTATTTTTCTTATATGTATACTGAGTTGGTTTAATTTAAATATCATATGTATTTATGACTGATATATTTAAGAATTGTTTTTGTACATGTCATGCAATTTATAACAAGTACAAAAAACTTAACATATACTTTTCTTCACAAAAATCTAAAGAGATTTAAATTGACTTAAAAAAAAATTTATATAATTTTTGGGTGTATATTTTTTAATTATATAGTAATTGACAGATGAGATAAATTGTTTGTAACTTTCAATTATGTAACTTCCATATCATGATCTACTTCCATCATTTAAATTAAATTATAATTATTCAAATTTAAATATTTTTGTCATGATAAAAAGAAGCAATCTGAAAGTTATTTTTCTTTCCTTCTAAACATTTTTATGTGAGAAATCTTAGTAAAAAAAAATAAGAACTAAATAGTGATTTAAAATTTTGTAATGTACAATATTAAAGAGAACAAAGATTATTAATGCATAGTCTTAACATGAAAGTTTCAACAAAATAATGCTAAGTCATATTTATATTCTAATTTTATTAGCATTTTGAGAGGTTCTCATAAAAACACAATATAAATGGATAAAACTTGTATCTTATAATATTAATGCATGAATGAGTTCAACTTTTTATTAACTAAACAAAGAATTTTATTCTATGATAAAATTATAACAACTCGCCGAAAGTATGACATTAAACATTACTGAAAAAAAGTCAGATAGATGTGAAATATAAGTAAAAACATAATTGGATTTAATTAGTCTGAGATATTAAATTAGAATTGTCAACAAGACTTGTGTGATACATTTAAAAGTGATCTCCAAGAAACATTAAAGTCAATATGATATAGATGGAAGCATAGGTATATTCTATTTCTGCTATAGAGAACTTCAGCATATACTTTGCTATTTTAAAGAGATATTTATTAATAAAATAAAAAAAGAATATACTTAACTTATCTGATAATAAGTTATTACAATATCTAGACTTATGTACACCTATCCGGCTATTTGTGTTCAAAGACAATGAAAAGGAATATAAAAACATTAGCAGCTACTCACCTGTGATGTTAAATCCAGTGGAATCTATGGTGAGATAAGAAGTACATCCTTGTATAGATTTCTGTTTTTATGATTGCTGCTGTGTGACAACAGCAGTAAGTAAGTGTGTGTCTGTGTGTGCTTGAGAGAGTAAGTTTGAAGGACAAACAGCAGTTTGTTATCCTATCAAGTGTCTTGTGTATGTAATGGCTGCTCCAGTCACCGGAACTGATTGAATAAAGGCAGGATAGGATCCCAATCACTACCTTATTTGATCTAGGTATCTGATGTATGTTTGTAATTGTGTACATACATTCATTTTTACTTGTATGTATGCTTGTATCCAAACAAGTGCAATGGTCCAATAAAATCTTTAATAAAATGAATATCACATCAGATCCTTTCTTCTTGCAATCCTTTATGTAGCTCTAGCCATTTTCTCTCCAGAGTTGACATCTTTGTATTCAATCCATACTGAGACATAATGTTATCATATACTTAACTTTTTTCATATATTTTCATACTTTAGCTAAGCAGTAATTTCTGGATTCAAATTATATCATCACTTAGACTTTTGCCTAAAGCTATTTTATTTAAACAAATGACCAAGTCTAGTTAATTTGATATTTGCTAACAGTGAAAATTCTGAATATAACTTTTTAAATGCATTATATCAATGACAGTGGCAATCTTCTCTAGAAATCAATATCCTGTATATTTACTTATCAATACAGAATCTAAGTACCACTTCTGGAACAAAGAAAATCTAGGTCAATGGATATCTTCTCTTCCAATCAATATAGCAAAAGAAATCATTGTAGCTTTCTCATTTTTGTCATTTTTCCTATTGCCAATTTGTTCCTTTATTTATGGCATTATTGTACAGCATCATAAAATTGGGAACAAAGATAGCGAGATTAAAAATTTTTAAATGAGCTACCAGATAATGATAAATATAACAATAAATATAGTTTTCATGTAGACTTTCCTCAATATATACATTTTTATATCATTATTTATAATGTTCTGCTTGTATAAATAATATTTCACAAAGAAGGCAAGAAAATTGTGATTTTATCAATCTTCACAAATGCACATATTTGATTAATTTTTTTTCAGAGCATTGAGAAAAGTGTTAATGCAATTGAACAAGCCAATGAAGCAAGAATTTTATTGCACTAACAACTCTAATAATCTTTTGTATAGTACTTTTACTGTTCTCAATTGCTAATTGAGATATATTGATAGCTATTTCTGTATGTAAATATCTGCAGAAATTAAGCCTTTTTTTTTGTTCTTTTCAAGAAACTTATTTTGGTAAATGTGGTACAGGTGGTAATGGTCTGGGATATGAAATACAGCAGCTGCTCACTGGTGAAGTCCTAAGCACTGGATGTGAGCCAGGAGTGCCACTCTCCATTGTGGCAGATTTTTTTCCCATCAACTCTGTGCTTTGGCCAATGTTTGGTTTGAAGAAACACCTCGCAGTGATCATGGCATCACTGGGGTAGCTGATTATCTGTTCTATGGACTTCATATCTCTGCTGTGGAATTGGTCAGTTTGAGGTGAAGGAGAATGACAGTATTGGGATGAGAACTGTTCTGAAAAAGTTAAATGCATGTAAACAATTATTAGGGCAACACATGTCATTGATACTTTAAAAATAGGGTTTAGTGAAATAGAATCAAAGCATAGATGCCAGAAACAGATAGTGTAGAAGAGAAGAGTTGATTTTCGAGGCAAGCATGATATCTTTTTCTTATTTATCTTTTTTTTGTCAGATTTAATGCAGAATTTAACGCACTGTTTGCTATTGTTCCATAGTCAAGCGTCAATGATAGCTGTTGTTCTTCATGTGATAATGGGTATTTTTTTTACAAACTAGTTTCATGTATTTTCCTATGTTCAGTGTTACTTTGTTGTTCCTTTTCTCTCCTTGCCTCAAATTTGACCACAATAGGCTCAATATATATAAATGGAACTACTGAATCGACATTTGCATTTCTGTGTCCAGTGTATGCACTTCCTTATTTTTTTATTAGTAGATATTTTTTCATATTCATTTTATTATGTGGTGCTAATTATTGTTGCATTTCTATACTCTAACTATAAAAAATTATATATTTATATTTATATAATGTTTTATGCACAGAAATTTTCCTTTTGATGCTATATTTTCTCAATATTTGTAACTAGGAAGATTCATAATATGTCAAAGACTAGTCCAGTCTGATATCCCTTACTACATACCTGGGAACTCCACACCCCGTCCCATGCCTCCCTCATGCCAACCATGTCCATTATCTGAATGTGAAGATTTTGCAGATCTGCAGCTATTATTTGCAGAAGTGGTAATCAAACACTTTTCATGTCTATCCATATTTGTAATTTCTGCTTTTTCTTGAATACATATCTGTGGATAAAAAGGAAAGAAAAAAAACAATTCTTAAGTAAATTTATGTAAATATGTTTAACAAAATTTTATGCTGACTAATAATACATATTTAATAAAAATTTTCATTAATTCCTACATTTTACAAATAAAGTTATATCACAACAAAATACTTAATTATACAAAGGTTTCTCTTCAAGATGAATTGTGAAAATTTACTTTTTTCTGTGTGTATATCTATCCATTTATCTATTTCTCTCTCTCTCTCTATATATATATATATATATATGTGTGTGTGTGTGCGTGAATTCAAAATAATATGCATAAATTAAATAAAGTTATGAGAATAAAAGATAGAATTTTTTCAGTTTTATATGTAATATTTTCAATTTGTTTTGTGTAAAGATCTCAGTCTGTTATTTTTTTCCTTATGCCTCAACATGTTGTGAATTGAAGTATTGAAGGAACTAAAGATCTTGAGGTGAAAGGATTCTTGTATATTTGTTTTGATTGACTTTAAATATGGAAATTAGTTTCCTTCACAAAAGCTTACATCTTTGTTGAGTTTTAATTTAGATAATTTGATGAAAACACAACATACAGTAGGTATTATTATTAGTAGTAGTAGTAAGGAATGGATATGCTGAGATGTATTTGACATGTTGCTTTCATCTTTTGGAGAGAGTAATTTATGTATATATGGACAAGAATTTAATAAACCAAATACATGTACTGTAGATGCTTGTTTGAAATAATTAAAATTTTGCAGAAAATATATAATATTCTTACTGATTTGTACTTACAAAACAGATCATTTAATTTTCTACTGCTACAACTAAATAAACAATCTTTGTGTGACAAATAGTTTAAGATTATACTCAGAAACATTTTAGTTTTAATTGCATATATTTAAAATATGATGATAGATATAAATGACAAGTAGTTTACTGTATTTTTCATTTAATTATATATATTTTCAAATCTCTTTTTATATATATATATATATATATATATATATATATATATATATATAACAGATTTGAAAAATTTATTGTTCATCACTCAGGCCTTAGTAAAAGAAGAGAAATATATTGCTACTTACATGGTTCTTGCCTTCCATAGTTGTACAAGTTTTGGAGGGTAAATTCTGTCGTTCAGTGAAGTGAGTATTTGAATTCTTATTTGATTGGGGTACAATAGTGGTAACATCAGGCCATGAACTTGTATGGTAGGAAGGACATATTAAATGTCTTTGATCATTAGGGCATCTATGAGGAGTACTTATCTCTTCCCTTTGCGGAATGTTTCTTCGGTGACAATATCGCAGAAGACATATAGACATTGAAGCTGTAATTATCACAGACACAGTGACAGAAATCAATGTGATGATGATTACTAAGTTAAAATGTATTTTGTCATCAGCTTTTATGCGAACTGATTTTAAAACTTCAAAAGTCTTATTGCTAACAGTCAATATTAAAAATATAGTGGTTGATGCTGATTGGACTGGGGTACCACTATCCTTGACCACAAACTCCAAGTCATATGAACCAGCATCTTGTTGAGTAACAGTACGAGTGAAAGATAACAAACCAGTATATCGGTTGATTGTAAATAATTGTTTCTCATTGCCTGAAGTTATTTCATATTTGAGGAAGGCATTTTCTCGACTATCTCGATCAGATGCTCTTAGAATTGTGATGTTCTTATTTTGATGAGAGTAATATACAAAATTCAAAGTAAATGGATTAATATGAGGAAAAATAAAATATGGAGCATTATCATTTTCATCTCTCACTTCAACAATGACATTCACTGTATTATTTAATGGTGGTTTTCCATTATCTTTCACAAGAACCTGGAATTTATAAATATATTCCACTTCATGATCTATAGATGTTAGTGTTGAAATTAAGCCATCCTCTCTAATTTGAAAAGGTAGAAATTGCTTATCTTTGGTAAGCAGAGAATAACTGAGTTGTCCTCCTGCTCCAAGATCTTGATCACTGGCATTGATGAAGCCAACTGGAATTTGGGATTTCTGGTTCTCATCAATGCTAAATCTATAAATCTCTCTAAAAAATTGTGGTCTTACATCATTGACATCAATCACTTTGATCGAGAACTCTTTTTACTGTGCAATGAAGGGGATCCTTTATCATGACAAGTGATGATAATGTCATGGAGGTCTTCACTTTCTCTATCGACTGGACTTTTCAGAATGACTTTATATTTTTTCATGCCGAGACTCTGCAGCTGGAATTTATCATGCTGCAGATCACATCTAACTTCTCCATTCTGCCCAACATCATGATCAGTGACCTTTACAAAAGCAATGAAACTGCCAACTTCTATGTCTTCTGAAATGGTAGTTGTATTTGCAGTGGATGCAAAAACAAAATTTATATTTATTGTTGGTGGATTATTCTGTTGGCTGATTACATTGACTAAAACCTTTGCCAGAGAACTCAATGGTGGACTGCCATCATCTATGGCTTCTACATATAAGTTATGAAGTAACTCTTGCCCAAGTAAAAAACTTTTACGCAAGAAAATTTCTCCAGTTCCCTCATTTAAATGAAAGTGAGATTTTACCATTTCAGAAGTTTTTAAACTAAAACGGTAAGAGATTTTCCCATTATCTCCTGTATCCATATCCTGTGCCGATAATACTAGAATGGGGACAATTCTGCTTGGCTCATTGTTTATAGAGACATTATATACTTTTTGAGAAAATACTGGTGGGTTATCGTTGACATCAGTAACTGATATGTGGACATTTAAAATACTTTGTTTAGCTGGAGAACTCCATCTTTAGCAATCACTTGGATCATATAGGTATCTTTAGCTTCACGGTTAAGCTTGCTTTCAAGTATGATACTTAGATCAGATGTACCATCTACTCTTTCAGAAACAGACAATGTAAATGGCTCATCCCTGTTCTTTTTCAGTTGGTAGGTTATTTGTGAGTTCAAATGTCCAACATCTCTATCGATTGCATTTGGGATTGATATTTTTGTTCCTTTACTATCTCTCTCAGAAAGTTGAATATTTACTTCTTTCTTTGAAAACTTTGGTTGATGATCATTGACATCTTGGATTATCACTTTGATTTCTAACAGTTTAATGAAAGATGTTCCTTTTCTCATGGCAACATCTATCATTTTATAGCATTCTTTCTCCCGCTTGCAAATCAATTCTGCATCCAGGTTTTGGGTTGTATAAAGTTTTCCTGTATTCTTAGATACTTGGAACAGCTGGCCAGTATTTGACATACCCTGTTGCAGGAGGTTAAATGTTATTAATCCATTATTTTGATGTGGTATGCCATCTATCAGGTGTGTGTTCATAGAAATATCACCAACTAATGTACCTTGGCTTTGGCCTTCTTTTACGTAGTAAGTTAAATCAGCAGCAAGACTTGTATGCAGGATAACCAGGAGAAGGTAAGTTGGTATCAACATGGCGTAGTTGACTCTGTTGAGTAAAAAAAATAAGAATTGTGTAATTCTTAGGTTGATTATTTTACCCATAAACTTTAGTTGTTTTGAAAATTACTAACTTTGCATATTTCTATTATTTTATTGATCAAAGCATTTTGAATTACTCTGATTTGATTGCCCAAACAGACATTTAAAAAAACACCAATTAAAGCCTAGACATCAGTGAAACTCTTAAGTTTTCTTTTATGTTGTTGAAAATCTGTGTTTTTGTTTTTTCAAATCAATTACTTTCATTTGTAGATGTTAATCCGTGCCATGTAAATACTCAGAGATTCAAATCTTTTTCATTTGTCTTCTTTCAGGTAACTTGTAAATTTTGAAATTATTGCCTTTTGGAAATTATTATTTTTCAAAAATTATTTTAATTCTGGTAACTATCATGTATATATTCATAAATTTCACAGGAAAGCTTGGACAAAATGTTTGCTAAAATATTTTTAAACACATTTTTGTTTTCTGTCTCATAAAGATTTAAAAATATGAATTTCACACTAAATGCTGGTATAGACATAATTAAAAATATTTATAAATTATTCTTTTACCTGATGTTTGCTTTTTTTATTTCATTTTGCATGGAAGCTTTGTATATAGCATATATATGACAAATTTATTTTAATTATTTTCCATGATATTTTTAATTTCACTAAAACTATAATTTTAATAATTTTGCAACTTATATTTTATTTCCCATCCTTTGATTATACTTTAAAAATGAATTCTTTACTCTTTTCAGAGATGAGATAAACATCAAGTACAATGTCTTGAAGACAGTTTAAAAGAGACAGAAAAAGAATTACTCTTTTGTTACCTGTTTGCTAAAATGATAAAGTGTGATTGACCACTACTTAAATATAAGTATTTTGTTTCATTTTTACTAAATAACATAATCTCTTAGAATATTCTTAACTTTTCATATTATGCTTGCATTTAATAAGACAAAAAAAGATTAAATCACTTAGTAGCTATTAACTATTCAATGTAGTCATTTCCTGTATTTAATGATAGCACAAATGAATATTCTATGAAAGTGGGAATTTTAAAACATACAGTGCCTCACTGTAAACAGAAACTATTTAAAACTTGAAATGGTGTCAAAATTGCATCACAAAGTAAAATGTAGTTTGCCTTTGTTCATGCGGCAAACCTGCATATTTAAAAAAAAAAGTAATATTCCACTTTTCTAATGACTATCATGATGATGAATAAACTTAAGTCAAATACTATCCATTCAATTATTAAATATAATGTTTCAACTGTCAATTAGCAACATATACTATATATTTATTTTCAGTTGACTTCAAATTTTATTTAATAAACTTTGCTCTTTACTTTCCAGCATTATCTGCAGAACTGCAAGTTTCAAAATTAACAAATACACAAAACAAAAAGTATCTAACATATTAACTACAAAATTAATTTAACTTGTTGAAAATACAACTAAATCTTAAAAGTTATATGTCAGGAATGTTCAATTTATCTAGTGCATCAGTTTATTATCTCAAAGCAAAAGAAGATAATCTTAATTTTTTAAATATTTATAAAATTTATACTAAACAAAATTATGTTTCCCATCCTTTGATTATACTTTAAAAATGAATTTTTTATTCTACTTCAAAGATGAGATAAACATCAAGTACAATGGGTTAAAGACAGTTCAAAATGAATTAACTTTGAAACTGTGATCTCAACAGCTTTAATTTATATTTTTACAAATTACAATGAAATAAACAGGTTTAAGCAAAGTTCTGATAAATATTCTATTATAAAATTATTAATATAACTTTTTCAAATGGCAAGTATGAATTAAGGCATTCTGCTAGATTTGTTTATTAATATTTATTGTTTTTACAACAAAGTAATATTTTTGGAATTTTTTATGCAGGACGTTTCAATTTTCTGCATTAATTTCTATGGCAATTAGAAATATTTTAAAATTGAAGATTTTAAAACAAAGTGACCCAAAACTTGAAATAGTATCATAACAACAGATCAAACTAAAAAGCAAGTTGATCACAGTTCCCACAAATATATGGTGTCTCTGAAATCAACAAATCAAGATCTACTTTTGATAATATTTTCATTATACTTTTTGAAGATATTAATTTGAAAATGTGAAAAACAAAGCAATTAAACATTCTTTTTAATAAATTATTACAATCCAGCAAAAGCCTAATATTAGACAATGCAGAAAAAAGGTAAATAAAAATATAATTAAGAACATAATAACATTGGTTCTGATTCTAGGTACTAAAATTAGAATTGTCAACTGTAGTTTTCTGATACATTTTAAAGTGATCTCCAAGAAACATTAAAGTATATATGATGTAGATGGAAGCATAGACATATTCTATTCCTGCTATAGAGACCTATGGCATATAGTCTGCTATTTTAAAGAAACATTCATTAATAAAATGAAAAATGAAAATGTTTAACTTAACTGACAATAAGTTATAACAATATCTAGACTTATGTACAACTATCAGGCTATTTGTGTTCAAAGACAATGAAAAGGAATATAAAAACATTAGCAGCTACTCACCTGTGATGTTAAATCCAGTGGAATCTATGGTGAGATAAGAAGTACATCCTTGTATAGATTTCTGTTTTTACTACTGCTGCTGTGTGACAACAGCAGTAAGTAAGTGTGTGTGTATGTGTGTGAGAGAGAGAGAAAGAGATAGCAGTTTGTTATCCTATCAAGTGTCTTGTGTATGTAATGGCTGCTCCAGTCACCGGAACTGATTGAATAAAGGCAGGATAGGATCTCTATCACTACCTTATTTGAACTAGACACCTTTTGTGTGTTTGTGTGTTTGAGCATGTGTGTTTGTGTGTGCGTACAGATTTGTTTTTACTTGTATGTATATTTGTATCCAAGCAAGTGAAAGTATCCAATAAAAGCTTTAATAAAATAAATATCACGTCAGACCATTTTTTTCTCAATCCTGTATGTAGATCTAGCCACTTTCTCTCCAGAGTTGACATCTTTGTATTCAATCCATACTAAGACATAATGTTATCATATGCTTAACTTGTACAAAGTTATTTTTAACCCTCTACAATGTCTATTGTTTCACAGCTAAAAGTTTAGCTACAGCTACAGTGATCATATCATTTCATACTTAGGGAAATTAATCCTTTTAGTTAAACATTAATTTCTGGTTTCAGATTATACCATCACTCAAAATGAATTGTTTTGCTGAAAGGACAAGTTCAAGTAATTTGATATTTACTAATAAATTGAAAATTCTGAATATAGCTTTCAAAATGTATCATATCAATGACAGTGGCAATCTTCTCTAGAAATCAATATCCTGTATATTTACTTATCAATACAGAATCTAAGTACCACTTCTGGAACAAAGAAAATCTAGGTCAATGGATATCTTCTCTTCCAATCAATATAGCAAAAGAAATCATTGTAGCTTTTCATTTTTGTCACTTTTCCTATTGCCAATTTGTTCCTTTATTTATGGCATTATTGTACAGCATCATAAAATTGGGAACAAAGATATGAGATTAAAAATTTTAAATGAGCTACCAGATAATGATAAATATAACAATAAATATAGTTTTCATGTAGACTTTCCTCAATATATACATTTTTATATCATTATTTATAATGTTCTGCTTGTATAAATAATATTTCACAAAGAAGGCAAGAAAATTGTGATTTTATCAATCTTCACAAATGCACATATTTGATTAATTTTTTTTCAGAGCATTGAGAAAAGTGTTAATGCAATTGAACAAGCCAATGAAGCAAGAATTTTATTGCACTAACAACTCTAATAATCTTTGTATAGTACTTTTACTGTTCTCAATTGCTAATTGAGATATATTGATAGCTATTTCTGTATGTAAATATCTGCAGAAATTAAGCCTTTCTTTTTTTTGTTCTTTTCAAGAAACTTATTTTGGTAAATGTGGTACAGGTGGTAATGGTCTGGGATATGAAATACAGCAGCTGCTCACTGGTGAAGTCCTAAGCACTGGATGTGAGCCAGGAGTGCCACTCTCCATTGTGGCAGATTTTTTCCCATCAACTCTGTGCTTTGGCCAATGTTTGGTTTGAAGAAACACCTGCAGTGATCATGGCATCACTGGGGTAGCTGATTATCTGTTCTATGGACTTCATATCTCTGCTGTGGAATTGGTCAGTTTGAGGTGAAGGAGAATGACAGTATTGGGATGAGAACTGTTCTGAAAAAGTTAAATGCATGTAAACAATTATTAGGGCAACACATGTCATTGATACTTTAAAAATAGGGTTTAGTGAAATAGAATCAAAGCATAGATGCCAGAAACAGATAGTGTAGAAGAGAAGAGTTGTTTTTCGAGGCAAGCATGATATCTTTTTCTTATTTGTCTTTTTTTTGTCAGACTTTACGCAGAAATTCTCACAGATGATGCTATTGTTCCATAGCCAAGCATCAATGATAGTTTTTCATCCTGATGTAATATTGGATATTTTTCATGAACTAGTTTCATGTATTTTCCTATGTTCAGTGTTACTTTGTTGCTCCCTTTCTCTCCTTGCCTCAAATTTGACCACAATAGCCTCAATAAATATTACTGTTCTTTGAATTATACTGAATCAACATTCATATGATTATCATCCTATATGTCCAGTCTATGCACTTCCTTTTCTTTAGTTTTGCTTTTGTTTCCCCTCTTCCATAAAATGCTGTTGTTAATTGCATGTGTTTATGTTCAATTAAAGAGAAAATGTGTGTTTTTCATTGACAGTAGTTATATAATCAGTGAGGATGACATGCATCCTAAACTATTTACAGAATATCTGTTTACATGACGTTTTATGCATACAACTTTGCTTTTGAAGATATATTTTCTAATATTGTTTGTGACTAGGTAGATTCAGAATATGTCACTGACAGGCCCAGTTTGATATCCCTTGCTACATACCTGGCACCTCCACACCCTGTCCCATGCCTCCCTCATGCCAGCCATGTCCGCTATCAGAGTGTGAGGATTTTGTAGATCTGCAGCTATTGTTTGAAGAAGCTGTAATTAAACTCTTGTCATGTCTATCCATGTTTGCAATTTCTGCTATCTCCTCAATACACATCTGTGAAGAGAAAACCAATAATTAGTTTTGTTTAATATTATGGGCAATGTTTTTTCATCAATTTTAAAATTGATTTAGCTCTATATTCTTAATGAATTTTACACTTTCACACTTTGTATTTCATAGAAATATTTTGAAAGAATTATATAAAAGTTATAATGTTCAGGTTGTTGTGAATCACTTTTTTCTAGCAAAAATAATGGTTTTATATCAATTCATGTATTATCCATTTGTAAAATATGGTATGTTTTATATGTTGAAAATTATGAAATGAAAAAGTAAAAATATGAAAAAATGTATTTTATTTTTAGTTTTGTTCATATTTAAAAATTTTATATTCTATTCCTGTTGAAACCTAAAAAGTTTTACTGAATGAGGAATAACCGAAACAGAGGTTGGAAATGAAATGGTAATCTTTATAACATCAACAAAATACAATACTTGCCAGTGGCATGAAGTAGGTAAACCACTACTAGTGGTGAACTACTTAGACAGCATATGACCCCCACTTACAATAGTGTCCAATGTATTTATGAGGATTGGTACATACTGATTAGTGTTCATAGGTACGGTATATAACAATTCACATACTAAATACTCAAAAACGATATAGGTTTTTACCATACTAAATACTTATCAAAAGATGTTGCTACTAGTTTTAACTCAATAAATTGGTTTATTTAACATAGGTAAAATATAAAAAAAACTTACTTGATGCTTAAAGTCTGCTGAAGTGTGAGGCTTTAGTGGTAGACTTCTTTGTCCATTATTAAATTTGTCACTTTCTTGAGACATTTGTCTTCCTTCAATGAAATGTGCATTCCTAGCTTTGTCTGTGTGAGGCACAGCCGCTGGCATATCAGTCCATGAACTTGTATGGTAAGAAGGACACATCAAATGTCTTTGATCATTAGGACACCGATGTGGAGTACTTATCTCCTCTCTTTGTGGAATATTTCTTCGATGACAATAACGCAGAATACATATAGACATTGAAGCTGTAATTATCACAGACACAGTGACAGAAATCAATGTGATGATGATTACTAAGTTAAAATGTATTTTGTCATCAGTTTTTATATGAACTGATTTTGGAACTTCAAAAGTCTTATTGCTAACAGTCAATATTAAAAATATAGTGGTTGATGCTGATTGGACTGGGGTACCACTATCCTTGACCACAAACTTCAAGTCATATGAACCAGCATCTTGTTGAGTAACAGTACGAGTGAAAGATAACAAACCAGTATATCGGTTGATTGTAAATAATTGTTTCTCATTGCCTGAAGTTATTTCATATTTGAGGAAGGCATTTTCCCGACTATCACTATCGGATGCTCTTAGAATTGTGATGTTCTTTGTATGATGTGGATAATACACAAGATCTAATGTAAAAGGATTAACACGAGGGAAAGTAAAATATGGAGCATTATCATTTTCATCTCTCACTTCAACAATGACATTCACTGTATTATTTAATGGTGGTTTTCCATTATCTTTCACAAGAACCTGGAATTTATAAATATCTTGCATTTCATGATCTATTGAATTTAATGTTGAAATTAAGCCATCCTCTCTAATTTGAAAAGGTAGAAATTGCTTATCTTTGGTAAGCAGAGAATAACTGAGTTGTCCTCCTGCTCCAAGATCTTGATCACTGGCATTGATGAAGCCAACTGGAATTTGGGATTTCTGGTTCTCATCAATGCTAAATCTATAAATCTCTCTAAAAATTGTGGTCTTACATCATTGACATCAATCACTTTGATCGAGAACTCTTTTTACTGTGCAATGGGGGGATCCTTTATCACGACAAATGATGATAATGTCATGGAGGTCTTCACTTTCTCTATCGACTGGACTTTTTCAGAATGACTTTTATATTTTTCATGCCGAGACTCTGCAGCTGGAATTTATCATGCTGCAGATCACATCTAACTTCTCCATTCTGCCCAACATCATGATCAGTGACCTTTACAAAAGCAATGAAACTGCCAACTTCTATGTCTTCTGAAATGGTAGTTGTATTTGCAGTGGATGCAAAAACAAAATTTATATTTATTGTTGGTGGATTATTCTGTTGGCTGATTACATTGACTAAAACCTTTGCCAGAGAACTCAATGGTGGACTGCCATCATCTATGGCTTCTACATATAAGTTATGAAGTAACTCTTGCCCAAGTAAAAACTTTTTACGCAAGAAAATTTCTCCAGTTCCCTCATTTAAATGAAAGTGAGATTTTACCATTTCAGAAGTTTTTAAACTAAAACGGTAAGAGATTTTCCCATTATCTCCTGTATCCATATCCTGTGCCGATAATACTAGAATGGGGACAATTCTGCTTGGCTCATTGTTTATAGAGACATTATATACTTTTTGAGAAAATACTGGTGGGTTATCGTTGACATCAGTAACTGATATGTGGACATTTAAAATACTTTGTTTAGCTGGAGAACCTCCATCTTTAGCAATCACTTGGATCATATAGGTATCTTTAGCTTCACGGTTAAGCTTGCTTTCAAGTATGATACTTAGATCAGATGTACCATCTACTCTTTCAGAAACAGACAATGTAAATGGCTCATCCCTGTTCTTTTTTCAGTTGGTAGGTTATTTGTGAGTTCAAATGTCCAACATCTCTATCGATTGCATTTGGGATTGATATTTTTGTTCCTTTACTATCTCTCTCAGAAAGTTGAATATTTACTTCTTTCTTTGAAAACTTTGGTTGATGATCATTGACATCTTGGATTATCACTTTGATTTCTAACAGTTTAATGAAAGATGTTCCTTTTCTCATGGCAACATCTATCATTTTATAGCATTCTTTCTCCCGCTTGCAAATCAATTCTGCATCCAGGTTTTGGGTTGTATAAAGTTTTCCTGTATTCTTAGATACTTGGAACAGCTGGCCAGTATTTGACATACCCTGTTGCAGGAGGTTAAATGTTATTAATCCATTATTTTGATGTGGTATGCCATCTATCAGGTGTGTGTCCATAGAAATATCACCAACTAATGTACCTTGGCTTTGGCCTTCTTTTACGTAGTAAGTTAAATCAGCAGCAAGACTTGTATGCAGGATAACCAGGAGAAGGTAAGTTGGTATCAACATGGCGTAGTTGACTCTGTTGAGTAAAACATTCAAAATGTTTTAATTTGGTACAAATTTTTATTTTTAAATCACAGATAAATAATGTCTCAAAAGATTTTCCAATTTTTAACATCATGAAATCAATAATAGGATTAAATTTCATTGGGATGAAATGCAAGAGATTTCAGAGAATGAAAGAAACAATAAAGTCAATAAAAGAACAGGATTCAAGGAGATGAAAGATGATGATTGACATTGAATTTAAATTTTTGAATACTGAATTTGACAAGAAAGCAGGACGCCAGAAGAGAGTGCAGGTGCATAGAACTTCCAGTTACAATGAGCAATCTCAACAGTGAAATTATGATATCTAGCTGCCAATCTAGTACTGTGCTTAATTTTGCAAAGTTGATATACTAAAAAGGAAAGAAAGTTGATCAGAACAATTACCATGAAAATGTTTATAGAAAAGGAATTAGGGAAATTACATTACAGCGATAGAAAAATGATTGATACTGAGATGCAAGGTTAACATTGCAGATTCTACTTTAGATTTTATCAAGAATCTCTAAATATATATAACAGAAGACTATATATAAGAAGACTTATAAATGTACAAGATAGATTCTGGTGAGAAAAATTGTCTAGCATGGTTTAGTGAACCAACTTCTGTAGCTGCAGACTTAACAGTTGATTCAATATAATTGTTTCACTTCATGTCAGTGGAAAATGTGAAACTGAGAAGGTGAGTTTGACTCTTGGACGTTAGCATCAACTATACTGATGAAAGGCCAAAAAGGATCCTAAAGATGATTAATAGGGGGCAGTTTAGTTTTAAC